CAGTGGTCTTTTTTTCAAAATTAATTCTGTAAACACTATGGCTTATCTGTGGCCTAAGAAAGTCCTGTTGCCTCCCACATCTAGTCTTATGTCAAGAACAGATTTATCTTTGATATGCGAGTCACTAATTCAATGCCCTTGACTTGTCTGACTTCATGGGCTGGTTTAAAGGGCATTGTACCATTGATCAGGCAAGCCGACAGAACAACTACTGCAGCTATTGAAGGAAGTATCCATTCATTTTTTAAACTCTAACGGTAAATATCCTTTTTGTGTCATATATGACATAGTGGAAGTAGAGATCCTGATACACCATGGAGTTTACTATTTTGTCATCACAAATACTTGGCATGGCAAACTTACAACAGTACCATCACACCTGTAATTCAGGAGAAGTTTCTATCCTTTGAAGTCATGGAGAATAAGGAGTGGGAGACATGAAAAATAAAGTGTTAACAAACTTTTCCTTGATGGGGGCTCTGAAAAAGTTTGTTTTCAGTATTACTAGTAACTATAGTGTGGTCTCCATTGTACTGTGGCATATGCAATTTGAAACTACAAAATATCATGTACATTGTCAAAAATTGTTAATTTGTTGTGCTTTCCTGGTAAATCCCAAGAAAAACACAACAAATACATCATGATATGCTATATTTTGACAACAGTACAAGAGAAGCCAGACAGGCCAATCGAACATACTAGGGTGGGATAAGTCAAAGACTGAATTTCAACCAGGAAGAGCAATGAAGCCACATGGGGAAATTTTCTGTGGCTCTCACACCAATGCCCCATCCAGGAGAGGGTCAGTAGGGACTGGATCCTGTCCTCACAACTGCATGTTTCATGATCAATGGGAATGAATGAAAGTTTATTTAACCTTTATAAAAAGTACATTACAAGTACCAAGTATTTAAGACTATTATTAGTTTCAAAAGAAGAACCAAAGTGGAAGACAATTAAAAACTTGTAAATTTATTAGCAACTTTAATTATGAGGAAGGATTGCCTAGTGGTTAGGACCTTAGGCTGGAACTCACGAAACCCAGTTTCTATTCCTTGCCTCACCGCAGGTTTGTATGTGACTTTGAGCAAGTTGCTTAGGCCCAGATCCTCAAAAGTATTTATGCCCCTAAGTCCCATTAATTTAAATTGGAGATATGAGCCTAAATACCTTTGAGAATCTGAGCCTTAGCCTCTCTAATGCCACAGTTCCCCATCTGAGATAATAGTACTTCCTTTTCACAGAGGGGTGTTGTGAGAATAAATGAATTAAAGATTGTAAAGTGCTCAAATACTATGGTAAGGGGTGCCATATAAATACCTAGGATAGATTCTAGGTGATGCCTTTTAGTAATATCCAGTCAAGTAAAATCAGTACAAATGTAACGGTGATATGGGTGTCAATGCACAAGGGACCAAATTCAATGGAGCAGCACCTGCTTTGGCCAGGCCTGCCTTTAGTCCAAGATGTTTAATAATTAAGTCCACAGTCAGGTTAAACTGTGCTCCCATATTTCCTGTGTCTACAGGAATTTTGATAATGGTACATATACAGAAAAAGAGTCTAAGTTATGCAGCTTTATCTGTTCCCAACTTTGTTTTTCACTAAAACTCCCACCTAATGAAAATGTGTCTTTACAGGGGAACTTATTTTCATCCCCAAAATTATTTTGGAGTGAATAAAAATATCTGTCACGATAGAATGAAAATGTCCTTTTTATAATGTTCCTTAGTTTTGGTTCTGTTTGTTTTATAAATGTCCATTTTCTGGACAGTTACCTTATTACTACAGGAAAATATACTTCATTTCATTCATAATTTACAAGAAAATGACAGAGGGAAATAGCCAGTGGTATGATAAAACCTTGGCTATATGAGAGTCTTGAATAACTGGGAAGTGTTTTCTAATACCCATTTGACAAATGTGGGACAGTATTTATGAGGATCTAGTTTAATAAAATGCATGCTCACAAATTCCATATATGTGTCTTTTTAGGAAAAAAAATGAGAGTAAACAGTAAATCAATGGAGTAATGAATCTATGGCTGTATTTATATACAGAAATCACAGTTGTCAGTTCAACTCCACACAAACAATAAAGGGGGATAAAACCCATGATCTTCTCCTAAAAAAGGGCCCTACTATTTGAACTCAAGAAGAACTAGCTGTAGGAAATGGAGAACCTTGTTATAGGGCATCCACTAGCAGGGTATATAACTACACATTTGGGGAGTTCTGACCTTCAGTCAAGTAGAAGGTGACAGGATATACCACAGGCTTTTATATTATATAGTATACACACTGAAGTGAGGATTTTTTCTGCTTCGGTATGCGTATGAAACTTCCATTAGCCTTTGCAGGAATTATGCACACATATCTAGGCACAAAAAGATAAATACCCACTGTATTTGTTACAAGTCCATATTCAGAGTCTAGTAGATAAGGAACTTCTTTTGAATAGTATTCTTTGGGTGAGATTGTCAAAGGCAAGGAGAATTAGGCACTTGTCTTCCATTTGTGCCTTTGAAAATCTAACCCTTATCATCAACTGAATCTTTATTACCTCAAAATGTGGATCCCCACTGTGATTATACAATTCAGCTTCAAGATAAGGATTCCCATAGTTTTCTCTAAAAATATAATAAATTACACATCCAATAAGTTAAACACATTCTCTTATGTTAATGGCATTTAATGCCTCTTTTGACAAGTTGTGATTGTTGCCATTTAATAAGACACTTTAACTATACAATACGTTATTTTAAAATGTCTTTATGCACATTTAATTATTTTATTAATTATCATTAACATATATAAGATGTTTCTTTTGATTACGTAATTTGCTTTTGCAGTTAAGAAGGGGAAAGAGTAACTTAAATATGTGAAATTTAATTATTATAAATTGTTTTTATTGTATGTTATTTTTTTAAATCTAAGTATGACTGAAGTAATGTGAAGTAGTGAATGTTGTTTTGTGCCTGATTTATTAATCTGCCTGTTGAATAGACCTGAGCAATTATTTCACAGTGAATTATTAATTAAATGAATGTAGACTCTTTTCTGTTTGTGAATTTCTTCAACAAGCTTAACTGCTATTCAAATTTCTTCACCATATTCATTATAATTTCTACAAATTATTTCTGATCTGTAGATTGATTGTGAGCAAGTCACTAGGAGTATTCAAAATTCTTGTTTTGTTGGCTAATTTTGACTGTTTACTGATTGTGCAAGTACAGCTCTTAAAATCCAGTGTGGATATTGACAATTGTAAATTCATAATTATCCTTCTATGATTGTTCTCTTATATTTGCTTAAAATGTGCTGCTGCTGTGAAAATTCCTGCTTGTCAAATTGTTTACTGGAATGTTAATGACAGGAGAACAGACAGGGTGCAAACAGCAGAAATGAAGTCAGGTTTTATGGTTAAAATGAATATATTCAGAACATTTCTTGAGATACACAAACAACATCTTGGAGAAAAAAGATCTACTAAGGATTCTGTTTTAGCGAGGGTAAATGAGGCCAAAGTTTGTATTTCTGATATAACAGATCCCATTGGGGTAGTGCTAACATCTGTGATGGATTTTCAAATATTTTGCTTACTATTAAACCCCCTGCCCATCTCTTCCAATAACACCCATATTAACCAGGACACTTATGAGTCAGCATCTAGTTGGCACTCCACTCTTCCTGTTTATCCCAGGAGTTGTGTTGTATGTGCTGGGTCTGATTTTGCCAACAATTTTGTGAGCACTAGTCAACTCAAGTGAGTAGCCCCTATGATGCCAATGACTACTTTCTTAAATAAGGGTTTACAGGTTTGTTCTCTCTATTTTTATTCAGCACTTTTGGTTTGTTTTCCAATTTTGTTTTGTGTTTTTAAAATATGTATAGATTGTAAACTCTGGGCTAGATTATGAGAGAGCTATAGATTATGAGCTTCCTTTTAGGCATCTTAATGGCTTTTCAAAAGGGCTCAACATTCAGTGAATCCTGCTGACAACAGTTGGGTACTGAGCAGTTTTCAAAATCTGGCCATATTACTTAGGTGAGTAAAAGGAAGCTGAGCTCTTCTGAAAATCTGGCTCCAGTTGTGGGTGCTGAGCATTTCTGGAAATCAGACTTTTTTTAAAATTTTTAAGATATTAGATAAGAATCAACTTATATCAATTAAATTATATTAATTATATATCTATAGGCTCCAAACTAACAACGCACTTAAGAATGTGCTGAATGTTTAAGTTCATGAGTAGTCCCATTGAAATTGAAATGCTATAGTGCTTTGCTGGATAAGGGCTATATTTTGTAAGCTGTTTGGGGCAGAGCTACCTTTATTATATATGTGTGTGGTTCCTAGCCCACTGGACCTCTAACCCCTGATCAGGACCTTTAAGTGCTGCAGTAAGAATGATAGGTATCCTGTAAGCATCATGTACTTGCCTCAATAGCCTTCCTGAGGTTTGATACTCATAGAACTGTATGTTGAAGTATACACTTTTCAAATACCCCATGACTGTACAACATAGCTTAGCATTGTGTATTATATGATTTTGATTCATATTTAATGAAATATTTCAAGAAGTCTAAGGCTTCCAAGAGAGCAGATAAGGAACTTGCTCTTTTGTGACATTTGACATTATTTTCCTCACCTCAGTTGGCTGGATGTGCACCTTTTCAGGTGTTTCGAAAGGTTAATGATTTTTAGGAAAATATTAAATTCACGTAATTTGAAGAAGAGTGATTTTCAGGATTTATATATTTAAACTATGCCATCAGACATGTGGGGTATGTGTAACATGTAGATAAGGTCTCCATGTAGATGTTGCTCAACTGGGGAATTTGTTCAGGCACATAGTGAACAAAGAGATTAAATATTAACAGAGGAACGATAACTCTTCTTTCTGGTTAGACCTATCATTAGGAAGCCAGGAGACTTCAGACTCTCTGGTATATATATGAACACAAAGTGCCTTTCACTGTCAGTACTTTCAGCAGGGGAAGGTTACCAAGCTGTTTAAGCAAGCCAGCATCATGAAACTGTTATTGCTGTGTCTGTTCTGTGTTTCCATAAGTAAATCCACGGCGTCTACAGATTATGATGATGAGGTTGTAGTAGTGATGACAATAATTAATAATAACAATAGTAACGCTTAATCTTACTTAGTTGTATGTATGACTTTATGCGCTTTTTAATTTAGTTAAATTACAAAAATAAAATGTTAAATTATCTCAAGAACATATTCATCCTCAACTTAAGGTGTTCAAGGAAAATTGTAATAATTTTTTTCTCATATGAGTAACAGCAAACTGTAGGGTTTTTTCCCCCTGTTTTCTGATGTATTTTCCTTCTCTTCCCTCTCGCTCTCTTTGTAGGAAAGTGACCACCGTTTCAAGGTAAGATTGGATTTAATTACATGTTCAGACATATTCAAGTAAGGATGTTTATTTAGCAATTTTAACATTTATTTAAGAGCATGAGAAACAAACTCTGCGTAAGTAAAAGAGTAGCAAAATGTGTGTTAAATAATGCCTTGAAGTCAATATGAGTATTTCCATTGGTTCAGTGGGTTTTGAATCAGGCTCTAAATGAGCAACAAAAGGAAGGAACTGATTCCCAGTTCATATTGCACTGGAGTTTGAAAGAGAGAGGTAACATTCTGCAATAGAATTAAAAAACAACAACAAACAAACAAAAAAATCCACCAAGGCCAGTCTAAAATTAAGGCATAAAAATGTTTATAGCTGGTATATTAATTTTGCTTAAGGAAAGAAATTTAAGAAAAGTCAATATTTGATTTAAATTTGGATTTTTAAAAAAATCTTGTACAAATCCCTAAACAAATGAATACCAGGTTCAAAAATGATAAATTATTTCATATGTGGCATAATTGGGTCTATAAATTGAATATGTTTCTGATATATTATTTTACCAAATAACTTTGCAGCCATTTTCTAACGTACACACTGCTTATTTCTGATGTTTCTAAGAGTTTGATCTTGCAGCCATTGCACACATGGGTCTTACTTGTGAGAGTAGTCTCATTGACCTCACTGGGCTACTCACAGTGAGGGTGTGAAGGATCAGATCCAAAATCCTGAATTTTTTGGTCTAGCCTATTTCCCTTATCCCTTATAGATTGTTAGTCATATAAATGCCTAATTCTTTTTTGAATCCTACTAATAACTTGAAGCTCTATGTCCAGTGGCTATGAGTTGTGCAAAACAATCTATTTCTTTTTATCAGATTTAATTTTCTTGCTATTTATTTTTTCTGAACCTTTTCTATTTTTGCTATTTCTGTTTTGAGATGGGGGGCTAGTACTACAAGGGGGTTACAATATTTTCAGTATTAGTTTCAATTTCCTCTTTTAACTTTCCTAACAATTTGTTCGGTTTTTTAATGCCAGAGTACATTGAACAGATGTTTTCATTCAGCTACTCACAATGATACTCAGGTCTTTTTCCTGGATGGAATTAGTGTATTTCTTGTGATTAAAATGTGAGAGATAGAGGGCAAAATGACACCTAAAATATGCCAATAAATTGATTTATGTTATTTTTATATTTTATACAGTTGATGTACCTGCTTTTAAAATAATGCTCCTTATTATAAAGGGTTTTTTCTCCTTCTGGCTTTGTGTAGGCTGATGGCGTAAGAGTGGATGCTCGAGGTCACAGACCAGTAGATAGAAGACGGGAGTCAGCTCCAACTCTCAGACCAGCTCCTCCTCCCATTAGTAAAGGTGGATATCAGGCTCGTCCAACAAAACCACCCACTTGGGCCCAGAAGAAAGAAAAAACCGTTTATCCTGATGCTGGAGGCTGCAGGCATGCATCAGATGAGCTAGTAGGTGTAATTGCAGTGGAGACAGATGCACTTAATAGTAATAGTATCCCTGCTTTCAGAAATGTACTAAACCTCACAAAGGTACATTCTGCAGCTCAGCCCGAATCTTGTGCTTGGAATGTTCAGTAGCATTCAGGTGATTACAGTGAATTCGATGCACTTCGCTTTCTAGTGTTTTGATGATACCCCTCCAGAAACATTACAGTCATCACTCTTTTTTCAGAACTCATCTTTTTAAACTGTTGTGCCCTTTAATATTTTTCTCTTTCTTTAACAGCTGTGAAGAACAGACAGTTTTCTTAATCAATCAAACACCAAGAAGTGACCATTGTAGTTCACTGACAGCTCAACTCTGCTCTCTCTTGCTTATGTTGAGTAGTACCTGATTGAGCAAGTAGTCTTGTTGATTTCATGGGATTACTTGTTGAGTCAGATCCTACTTATGATGAGCAGGGAGGCAGAACTGAGCCCTGAATGATGAATGTAAATAATTATGAGCTAGATTGTGGCCCCCCCCCATCACTTACATGGCTGTGCTTTGGGAGGGAAGAAATAAGGAGCCTCTCTTCTCACTCTTCATGGCCTGCAAAAGGGCTGGCTAGAAGTGCAAGACCTGTGGTTGAGGAGGCATAGGGACTGCAACTGAGATGCTGCCCTCCACTTGGGGAGCCACTCACTGGAGAGGTGTAGTGGAGTAGGCGGAGCCAACGGTTCACTCCCCCCTCCCCCACTGATTCATTACCCTAGAAATGAAAGGAACGAAGACAGAAATATGTATCTTTATCTTTAGGCATTCCTAATTGAAAGAAAGATATAGCACAGCTCTGCTTTAACATATTAATACATTATCCAGGGTATCTTCACTATCAAACATTTTTGCATCTATCCTGTGCTGCATGGCTCTGTCCAGCTGTCCAGTATTAAAAGGAATCCCCCACATTTTAAATTCTTCAAACATTCATTACATTCACCTGTCAGTCTTTATCCCAAGCTCCCTCAGGTGGGTAATGTCTGCAAAAACAAGTAGTATGTCTAGTAGTATGCTAACTTCCCTATACTGAACCAGTAGTGCATCACATTACCTCAGTTTTGGTCTCCAGTAAAAAGCATACGTTGTGACCATACTGCTAGGCATCTTAGTATCTGAGAACTTATTACTTCTAACTAGAGATGACGCAAACAAGTTTGTTAAAGTTCAGTTAATCAGAAACACAGGATTATTTTGGAGGCCTTTAGTGGGTTGGGTACTTTCGGTCTCATACTGCTTCGAAATTTGGTGCTTTTGTATTTTCTTCATCCATTTTGGTACATTTTCATCCTTAAGAGGAATAGTGACTGATGCTATAATAACATTTTCATCCTTAAGAGGGATAGTAACTGATGTTAGCGCCAGCTTCCTGCGGAGATAATTTTTTAAATCTTTTTGTGTATGGCTGTCTCACATGAAAGATACTCATAGCTTATGTACCAGAATAAAGTTAATACTTAATTCTGTGATTATGGGGGGAATATCTCTCAATATTTTTGGGTACCTGATAGGGCTGTAGTGCTTGATGAGTCATAATTTTGTAGCTGCAGATGGTTCAACTATGAACAGTTGATAGTCCAGAAAAATTAGCCAAAAGCATGTGGTGGATCACAGATATTAGGGGGTTCCCTCCTCCCAGAACTTTAATGAGTTATCAGAAGGGATCCCCAACTGGAGCTTGAGCCTGTTTTCTCCATTTAAGATGGCAGTTTTTTCTCCAATAAATTGAATGTCTGAAGTATTTTGAGACCATATTGAGGCAACTAAATACATGGCTTAGAGGTGCTAGATGCTCAGCATGTTTGAAAATCTGGTTACTTGTTTAGGTGCTGAAATATGAGATTGGGAACCTAACTTTAGGCACCCAGTTTTATAAATCTTGGCCCCAATCTACAGCACTTGTAATTGACTCTTTCCCCTTTCCGCTTTTTTAGGGAGTGTTGTGTCCAACCGGGTGTGAGCTGCAAACTGCAATGGTAAAACAGGAAAAAAGTGTGAAATCCGACATTTGGGACCTAAAGAACAAAGTAGATAAACAGTCTGAAACCTCTTCAATATTCTATGAGTATATGACTACACTAGAAGATAAATTGGCAAGAAGACAGAAACAAATAAAAGGTACATTATTGTTATTCATCATTGCAGTAAATCAGTATTACAGACAAATTTGCATTGCTACAAGTACTAAATATATAGGGCTTATTAAAAAAGGTTACAGATAGGAGCATCAGTCTAAGTAGCTAGGTGTCACAAGTCCATAAAACTATATCTAAAAAATCCTACCTGAGGACCTGATCCTGCTTTTGTTGCATTGGTCCCCTAGGCCTGTGTCTACCCAGCAATGAAATATCTGCAGTTGGCCCAGGTCAGCTGACTTGGGATTGCAGAGCTCGGGCTGCGGCACTGTAAAATTGCTGGGCTCCAGCCTGAGCCTGAACGTCTACCCAGCTATTTTTAGTCCCGCAGCCTAAGCCCTGTGAACCCAAGTCAGCTGATCAAGGCCAGCCACCGTCCTGCTGCAGGTCTTTTATTCCAGTGTAGACATGCCCTAGATGTCCCCAGCTCCTGGACAGCCATAATAAACTTCTGCGAGGGTGTTTACTACAGGTCCTTTGCAGGATATAATCACAGCAAGAAATTTGTCCATTTATATTGAGCCATAATACAAAGTATGTCCTTGTTACAGGAGCTAAAGCTCTTTGCACACTTTGAAATCAGGGAAGAGAGGGAAAGGACACACAGAGCACTCTTTTCATTTCTACAACAGAAGTAAAATCTCAAATAATACTGACTGGATCATGGTTTATAATTTGGATTAGAATATGCTAGTTGGAAAACATGTTGAAAATTGTGACAGTTGTTATACATTCTCTTTTCTAGACAATGAAAATGTAGTTTCTGAGTACAACACAGAGATAGAGCAGCACTATACGTACGTCAGAGAGAACATAGACAACAACATCCCATCTAGCCTCCGAGTCCTCCGTTCCATTGTGGATACCTTACAGAAAAAGATACAAAAACTGGAAAATGCTATAGCATCCCAAATGGACAATTGCCGCTCTTTGTGCATTGTTTCCTGTACTATCCCAGTGGTGTCAGGCAAAGGTAACTCATTTAGGGGTATAGAAATCTCTCCCTTATATCATTGTACAACTGGACAGATGCATTATGGGCACAAGTTCACATTCCTCCGAAGCATATGACACCAGTCACTACTTCTGCCCAGAGTTGATGGACCACTGACCTGATCCAGTATGGAAAATCATATATATATTACCTGTCTTATTTATTTATTGTGCGTGGGATTTTCAAAGGCACCTAAGTGATTTAGGAGCAGAAGTCCCACTGACTTTCAAAAAGGCATTGTGCGTCAGTGGGACCTGTGCTCCTAAGTCACTAAGGAGTTTTTGAAAATCTCATCTTATAAGGGATAGTGGGACAATACAGGTATATTATTCTTTCTTTCGTGATTCCCTTCTATGTCATTTTAATTTATAATTTAAATCAAAGTGAAATCGAGCAGAATTAGATGTTTGTAAGATATTCCTGTATAATTAGCATACAGAAAGCTATTCTGTTAATTATTGTCTTTATGCAGAGGATTGTTCTACTAGAATTTCATAGATCCCTCAGAAACATAAACTGTTGATTTATGATTGCAGAATGTGAAGACATTATCAGAAAAGGAGGTGATTCATCTGAAATGTACCTCATTCAGCCTGATGCTTTCTTCAGACCATACAAGGTTTACTGTGATATGACCACAGCAAAAGGAGGTAAGTGTGAGATAAACTATAGTGCTTTGATAGGGATAACTATAAATATTCACAAAACTGAATTTGCACTGGTCCTGTATTTCTTTGCATTTGTGCTCATCTGAGATTATAACTTTTGGCACTAATTATTAGTTAATCTAAAGCAATTGTTCTCATGCTATGGCTTGTGAACCATTGCAAAATGTCATCTACAGAAAGTTTTGAGAACTATGTGCTGAGGGATCTGAGTGCTGGAGTGGAAGGTGGCCCATACATAGTAGGATCTTTCTCTAATAAAGTTGAGAAAGAATTGTTGTATAGTCACTGACTTGGCTTGGTAGATGAAATTTTGAATCATTGTATATCTTACTGTGGCTAGATTGAAGTGCCATATCACAGCTGTGCTCAGGAGCAAGAAGGGAGTGTGACTGCCCCCACCTCCACATCCTCCAGGTTGGCTTTGTTAGGCCTTCCTGGAGCTTGGGTCCAGGCCCTGTGCAGAATGCAAGGACTGAGCCCCAGATGCTCCCAATTTGAACCAAGTGGAAGGGAATGAGCAGATAGGGGAGGTTTGGCTCCTTCCCCACCCTGCCCTATTCACTGGCCAGAGGAGTTGGCTGGGTGCATGGAGGGGAGTAACTTGCATGCTTTCAAGGCCTGCAATGTATTAAAACCTCCAGTGATGGAGATTCCACAACCTCACTGGGTAATTTGTTCCTAACTGTAAGGATAGTTGAGCACTGGAACAAATTACCTAAAGAGATTGTGCAATCTCTGGCACTGGAGGTTAAGAATAGGTTAGACAAATACCTGTCGGGGATGGTCGAGACCAGTGATACTCAGAGTGAGGCTCATAAGCCGCAAATGGCTCTTTAATGTGTCTCCTACGCTTTTTGCAGCACATGATATGAAAACACTGTGTGATTTAATTATTAACCAATCTAAGTTATTAACCAATCAGGATGCTTTTACTATGTTATTAACCAATTGTGGTTGATAAAATAATAATATGTGATCAGTCATTTTGCTGTGAGAATAACATAGATATAAACTGAATATTTCCCCTGTCATACTGTTTAAATATGAACATACAGTACTATAGTGAATGAAACAATGAATTCACATACCGTGGTTCTTTTAGGTAATGTTGATCACTAATTTGGCTCCTGAACCACTGAGGTCTGAGTATTACTGGTCTAGAGAATACTTAGTCCTACCTCAGTGCAGGGGACTGGACTAGATGATCTACTGAGATCCATTCTAGTTCCACATTCCTATGATTCTGTGATTCTACTTCTTCCCTCTGTGCCCCAAGCAAGAGGGGAAAATGGGAATAACTGTGCCTCTAAGACTTTCTCTGCCTCCCAGTGCTCCTCCTGGGGCAGCACAGCTCCCTGTCACCCGTAACTCACAACCAAGTAAATATCTAGCCAAGTATGAAAACATTACAAGCATTCTTTGCTTCTGACATGGAGATAGGCATTCAGGGCAGGACAGTAGTTTAACTGTTTATAGATTATTTCAGAGAGTGCACACTCCAAAGATTGCACTCTTGCTTCATTAGTGCTGTGATCACATCTGTAATAAGGGACCAAACATGTCCCTTTGGTCTGTCTCTTCCAGTCTTACTCACAGTATATGGTACTACTCAATGTGAGTAGGGGTGGTAGAACTAGGCCCTTACATGCTGGGATCCTCCCACCTTGCAGGGTCCTAGAGCCCGAGCCCAGAAGTCTACACAGCAATGAAACAGTCCCATGAGCCCGAGCTCTGCAATCCTGAGTCTGCTGTCACGTGCCAGCTATAGGTTTTTCTTTGCTGTATAGACATATCCGAAGGGTCCAGTCCTGCTCCAGTTTAAGTCAATGGCACAGCTCCCTCTAGTAGGGTTGACTGTCTCCTGAGAGCTCCCTTGTGGTGAGAGGTCACTCTGCAGTGCCCTGCCTCTGTTTTCCCCTATTTAGGACTCCTTACACAGACTCCATACGCTTTTTCTGTGATCAGAATACCCATTCTTTGTGTCTGGGTTTACTCACAGAATATAAACTAAAAATAAAACATACAGTCCCATATCAAAGTCCAACAGACAAACAGTTCTCTTCCTACTCCCAGGCCTTTCTGCCTAGGGAGGCCTTTCTGTTCCCTGCTTGCTCGGGTCTCTCCCAGGCCTCCCTTCCTGGAGAGCTTTGCAGCCCGTTTCTTTTTGTCCCCCTGCTTGCCCAGGATCTCTTTTGCCTTAGCTGCCTATTCCCAGCCCTTCCTAGCTGGAGTCTTAGTCCCAAATCCCAGGACTCTGCTGGAACCTGCTGCACTCCTAGCAGTATCTACTCTCCCGGAGTGAGCACCCATCCATCCACCCCCGTCACTGCAGCTTTCAGCTGCTCTTTCTAGGGTAATCACCTGATATCTCTTGAGTTGTGCCTCTTTCAGTAATCGGGGTTGGCTAGTCCCAGGCCCTCCAGCTCCTCTTACACACCCCCTGACACAAACAGAAGCCGGATTACATGCTAACACTATTTGTTCTCTTGTTAATTGCATTTTAATTCACATATTGTTGCCCCTGCAGGTTGGACTGTGATTCAGAACCGCCAGGATGGCAGCGTTGGCTTTGGGAGAACATGGGATGCATATAAAAAAGGATTTGGAAATATTGCAAAAAGTGGAGGGAAAAAATACTGTGATACTCCAGGTAAAATTCTGAATACAAACTTTAAAGCGCTTCTTTTATTAACACTTTTTTCTCAGGTTTCTTAAAACTGTCCACACTTGATTCAAAGGATGTTCATTAACTGTAGCAGATTTATGGGAAAATGGTAAAGTTGCCTTAAAACATATTCTGTAAGTGGGTTCACTGAGTTTCCTTTTATTGGTTGTCAGGTGAATATTGGCTTGGAAATGACAAAATCAGCCAGCTTACCAAAATGGGACCAACTGAAGTTTTAATTGAAATGGAGGACTGGAATGGTGAAAAGGTTTCAGCTCTTTATGGAGGATTCACCATACAAAATGAGGCAAACAAGTATCAGATATCAGTTAGTAACTATAGAGGCACGGCTGGCAATGCTCTTATGGATGGAGCTTCACAACTGTATGGCGAGAACAGAACAATGACAGTTCACAATGGCATGTTCTTCAGCACTTTTGACAGAGACAATGATGGATGGTATGTACTTGCATTAGCAATTTTTTTAAATATCAAAATAAAGCTATCAAATTGGAGATCTTACTGCTTTGTATGCATCTGGATATGGATTGTTCCACAGTCTTTTAGAATAGGCTAATATGTGCTAATTCTGCAAAATTTCACAATCTCTTAGGATAAATTTACTATCTGCTGGTCACCAGCCAAATGCATGCACTGCACCACTGAAGTATCCAAGAGCAGAATCTGGCCAAATGAAATGATAATTTAGACTAGAGCTGTACCAGAATCAAATACAAAGCACCTGCAGGCACACTGGAGTAGTGGGTTGAAGTTGTTCTAAGAATCACATCAGTGTCCACAGGCTGGCACCTTTGGACGGTGTATTATCATTCACAGTAACTCATGAGGTTATGGCCCCAATCTTACTGTCACTGAAGCCAAGGAAAATTTTGACACTGAAGTCAGTGGGAGCAGGATCATTGGGCTTCAGTCAGCGTGAGCCAAAAAGGAAGGAGATCCACTGCTGAAATTAGCAAAATATCCTGTTCTAAAGGATAAATTCTACCTAATCAAGAAAATAAAGAATTTCAATTGTTAGTGATAAAGTGCATAATTTAGAATCTCTTTGGCACTATATCGCTAAAATGCCTTCTAACCCTTTTACATAGTCATTTACTCTATTATAATATTTACTAATAGAGGAATTGCTTGTGTTGGCAAATCCATATGGTACGTCTTGTTCGGTACCATTAAATTACAATGATATTTGCATTAGAAACAACATATACAATATAACATACTGTAGGATCTTTGTGTGCCAGTTTTCTTAGTTTTTAATTAAATTCAATAGGTGAATCCTTATTATTGTGCATGGCCTTATGCAGTGAGTACCAGTGGCAGCTGTACAATATTTGATGTGGTAGTTCTCTTTTCTACCACTATCTTTTTCAGATGTAGACATGCAGAAAAATTGTGCATTGGAGTGATCTATCATAAGCACTTTTTCACTTTGTCATTTTTAAAATGTGTGCCATTTTTTATGCTTATCAGAATGAGGAATCAAATATAGTGCAAATTTTCCTGTGCAATTCTACCAATGCACCTCCAGCATCCCTGTTATATAAATCTTTGACTTCTCTGAAGCAGATTTTTCTAATTCTCTGGTAGCCTTATGGGGTGAACAAACATACAGTAGAGACTAGAATAAGATTGCCAGAATAATTCCTTCCAAAGTTGCATTTGAACCCAGGTATCCAGAAATGAAAGTCTAGTGCATGAACCCACTCTGACACCTTGTTTCTGTCCAGTCTCTTATTGAAACCAGGCCCCATATAAGTTTTAGTTAGGAATGTAATTAAGTCTATCCTGTGACCATTTACAGAACTGATAGGTATTAACTGATAAACTAAAGTGATCTTTCAAAAAAGATGCAGTATAATTGTATACAATTTGTTTCCAAATTCTTTGGGATAATTTCTTAAAACAGGAGATTGCCTAATGGGGTGGTCTCTTGTTCAAGATTCATTGTAGATGGATGTTTCTTCTGAGCCTAGTCTTTTCATTATCAATTCTTTGGCTGTTGGGGCTCAGACCATATGCTATTATGCATAAAACATTCCTATATGAAGTGTCTAGAACACACTCTAGATGATCAATCATATGTGGAAAGTTCAGAGATAACTTTTACTACATCTTGAGGATCAGAAAACACAGATTCATACACACACTCATGTAAACAGAAATAAGAATATAAGATATAAGAATGGCCCTACTGGGTCAGACCAAAGGTCCATCTAGCCCAGTATCTTGTCTTCTGACAGTGGCCAATGCCAGGTGCCCCAGAGGGAATGAACAGAACAGGTAATCATCAAGTGATCCATCCCCTGTTTCTCATTCCCAGCTTCTGGCAAACAGAGGCTAGGGACACCATCCCTGCTCATCCTGGCTAATAGCCACTGATGGACCTATCCTCCATGAATTTATCTAGTTCTTTTTTGAACCCTGTTATGGTCTTGGCCTTCACAACATCCTCTGACAAGGAGTTCCACAGGTTGACTGTGCATTGTGTGAAGAAGTACTTCCTTTTATTTGTTTTAAACCAGCTGCCTATTAATTTCATTTAGTGACCCCTAGTTGTTGTGTTATGAGAAGTAGTAAACAACACTTCCTTATCTACTTTCTCCACACCAGTCATGATTTTATAGACCTCAGTCATATCTCCCATTGCTGACTCTTTTCCAAGCTGAAAAGTCCCAGTCTTATTAATCTCTCCTCATATGGAAGCCATTCCATGCCCCTAATCATTTTTGTTGACCTTTTCTGAAACTTTTCCAATTCCAATATATCTTTTTTGAGATGGGGCAACCACATCTGCACACATTATTCAAGATGTAGGAGTACCATGGGTTTATATAGAGGCAACATGATATTTTCTGTCCTATTATCTATCCCTTTCTTAATTATTCCCAGCATTCTGTTCGCTTTTTTGACTGCTGCTGCACATTGAGTGGATGTTTCAGAAAACTATCCACAATGACTCCAAGATTTCTTTCTTGTGTGATAACAGCTAATTTAGACCCCCATCATTTTATATGTATAGTTGGGATTATGTTTTCCAATGTGCTTTGCATTTATCAACATTAAATTTCATCTGCCATTTTGTTGCCCAGTGACCCAGTTTTGAGAGATCCATTTGTAGCTCTTCACAGCCTGCCTGGGTCTTAACTATCTTTAGTAATTTTGTATTTTGTAAAATTTTGCATTCTGTAAAAATGTATTGTATTGATTAGCTACAGTGCCACTATTAACTATGTGTTTCTCTCCTCTCACCCCCCCCCCATACCTTGTAGGGTTCATGCAGATCCAAGAAAACAGTGTTCTAAAGAAGATGGTGGTGGTTGGTGGTACAATCGATGCCATTCAGCCAATCCCAATGGCAGATACTATTGGGGAGGGCAGTACACATGGGATATGGCAAAACACGGCACAGATGATGGAGTTGTATGGATGAACTGGAAAGGGTCATGGTATTCATTGAAGAAGATGAGTATGAAGATTAGACCATTCTTTCCACAATAATCATCATTAAAATGAACATCATATGTTTTCATGACCATATCGAAGTTAACTTCTTTTAGTGCATGATATTTGATTTTGCCTTTACATAAGAGAATCAAAAATACCAAAGTTTATATGTCTGACTATATTGTGACTTGAATTGGAGAAGTCATGCTGAATACAACCCTATGTCTGACCCATTAAAAAAAACTTGCAAGTGTCTTTTGTACCATTTGTACTTGATCCCAAGATGGAAGTAACTGAAAATATCAATTCCTTTTGCTTATAAAACAATTCAAAATCAGATATGAGGAGAGAGAGAATTATTTAGCTTCACTGAAAATGTTTAAAGTAACTAAAATCTTAAACCAAAAGTGTCTTATAAATTATACTTATTTATATGTTACCAGTGAATAAGCAAATGTGTTCAAATAGGTGGCAGAAGATATATTAATGTTCATTAAATATTTTCTACTACTGCAGAAGAATGTATTCTTATTCAGAAAAATGCACAAAGTAGCACAAAACAAAGTTATTTCCTTGACCAACACAGGCTATAGGGATCTAGTGACATTTCACTCTGCACCCCTCTCTTCCCTTCAGGACCAGTCCCAGAATCAAACCTCCCTCCTGCAGGCCTCTCTCAGCCCTCTATAAGTATCACCTGACCCCTTCCCAGCTGGGTCTGATAATTGGACAGAGCTGCCTGGCCTCAGGCCCCTAGCCCATAGAGGGGCAGACTGCTCTGTTACAGCCTCCATAGGGAGGCAGAAACCCCCTTTCTATGGCCACAGGTTCCTGTCCACACCTGATCATGGAGGGGACCTCAGTCCTTCAGCAAAACCTCCACTGATGTTAAGCAAAGAAGGTTAGTGTGACAAGAACTGAGTGAGGACTACAAGAGTGTGTCCATGATTACCTCTTTGTCAGTACCTAAAGATATTGTTACAATACATGCTAAACCATGTGATTAGAAGCAGGGAGAGTCCAGTCACACTCTCAGTTATCAGTCGCACAAAGAAAACTTATGCACAGTAAATATTTGTCGGTTAGCTTTAAATTTAAAGGTACACATCTCCACGATAAGCACAATGCATCCTTGTTACTCACAGGATGTAATTGTTCTTCCATTCAGATAAGCTTTTGATTAAATAAAATTCTTATCGGTATGTTGTTGTATAAAAAATAGCACATTTGTATATGAACCCTAGCTACACACTACAGGAAAGAAACATATGAAGAAAAAAATGTATCATTAAACCTAGCATGCTATTATGAACCATTCACACTGAGTATTCTGTTACTAGTCCTATTAAAGTCAATGGGATTCCTCTCACAGCAATGTACTCCTGAATATGAGTAAAAGTGGCAGAATCAGGCTCTAACAGACTGTAGAGGCTTTCAATCAAATGCTTTCCACACTCTGAATAAGGTTGTTTTGGGAACCTTGCTTTGGTGAGTTACAGCAATGTATCTTATTTTAAAACTGTAGTATTTATGGTGAGCTAGCCACCAGATGTGCCCGTTACTTTGGGGTATGCTCATTTATTAGGGTTACTCTTCGGGGGCGGGGGGGAGTTCTGTAATTCTATTAATGTACTGCGTATGTCACTTGTGTGTTCATATGGAGCTCTACTCCTTCCTTCTGCAAGTCCCCTCCCATTGGAGCTATCCTGGAGGACCTAGGTTCCCCAGGACTGGGTTCCTCTAGCCCTAGAACTAGATGAACACGTACACACAGACACACACACACACACTAACAGCGCAAGTCTGAGTGGACTGGGTCAATCGGCAGTCTCAAGCTGATCCCCTCATATGTCCCTGCACTCAATGGGCTGGGTTAAGCAGCACCTTCAAGCTGTCACTCTTATGTGCCCCTGGTCTCAATAGGCTGGGCTGAGCAGCACTTTCAGCTGCCCCGCCCCCATGTGCCACAGGTTTTAACACGTCCCTATCCCACTTTCATGTTACAATTGTACTGGCAGTAACCCACTTGATGAGCAAACCCCACAGTATTTTTGGGCACTACAGGGATCTTTAGCTTAGGTAAAAGAAGCGTTGCTGCAGAGTAAATGGGGGAAGCTAAAAACACAAAAGAGTAAAGTTCAGAGAGAGAGAGAGAAGCAACCAGCTTAATCATAAAAGTTATTTATTGAATAATAGTGATAACTACACAAGGAGGGCTAAACCAACATAACATACATTATTAAAGGTTAATACCTAAGGTAGAAAGGAAAACAGAGAGAGAGAAAGAGGGGGATCTCACCCACTCCATGAGGCTTGAACTGGTTGGGGTTCCCAGATGATGGTGGTAGCTCAGGGTCCTGAGTGCTGGAGACAGGCAGAGCCCCCAGCAAAATCAGTCAGGAGATGGAGTGCCAGTGGGACTGATGCATAGTTTGGATCTAAGCATCAGAACACATACTTGGGCATAGGTAGGGGTTTTTGTAGAGAAAATGCAATGGTTCAAGGGAGAACACTAGATTTGTTTGTGGAAAAACTGATAACTTAAAGGTTTTCTTCAGGCTAGACAAGGAGCTGATCCCTCTTGGTTCAGGGTGGTGTTTTCTTCCAGGGAGCTCACAATGCAACTAGGCTGTTTCAGTATTTTGGATATCAATCAAGTATTTAGTACTAGAATTGGTCTGTTAATTGCTGAGCTGGGTGTGTTCAGGAATAGGTTCATTAATATCTGGAGCAGAGATTCTCATGATGCAGTGTGTCCCTGCTTTTCTGATCCCAGGGTTCAGTGCGGTTCTCTGTTCTTCATTCTGTATGTAAATTGAGATGTCTCCCTGTCCCATCTTTCATGCAGATGAGGCTAGGGGAGTTGTCTCTGTTTTCCATTCTGTATGGTAATGGAGATGTCTTAATCTTGTCACCCTTGTCAGGAGGGTTCTAGGTGTGTCTCCCATCTGCCCTTCATTGCTCTCTGCAAGCCCTTTCTCTGATCAGTTTTGGTTCAAGAAGAGACTGGTGGTGGTGATGGGTATCTTTCATGTGTCGGACAGGCTAGATACTGTACCATGGTTCCCCAAAAACACAGAGCTGACTGGTATCAAGGGGCACAGAATGAGACTGTTCAATTGTTATCTACACAAATCTACTGGCCAAAACACACACAGAGAGGAAATAATACAGTACTATCCACGCTTTGCAGATGGGAAACTGAGGGACAGAACTCTTCAGATTTCATGTTTGACCTGAGCCAAGTCATTTAGATTTGCCACAGGTCAGACAGGAAATCTGAAGCAAACCAGGGGATTGAACCCACATTCCTGGAGTCCCAGTCCAGGGACTTCACCACAAAAGCAACCTTCCTCTCTAATTGAATTTCTCTTATGTTGGGGGTTTCTGACAGGCAAACACTGGATCCAACAATGCTATTTGTACAGTGACTTTCAAGAGCAATAATTGCATTTTAATTTAGTGGGTGTTTGTAAAGGATTGTAAAGGTTTTATAAATTGCTCATGTGACTTATGTGATGTCCTGCTTGTGAGTAAAGGATGTTTATGTGTTGGAAATGAGAAGATACTCTAAATTTTGTGGGTTTACCATTGAAAAGGCCCAGTGTTGGTCTAACAATTCATTCTGAAAGGAAGCCTATTACAAAAATAAAAAATTTGTATTGTAAGTGATGTATTGTATAATTTTGGGCATGGGTACCCACTCATTTGCTAACTTGTTAAAGGAGAGCTCCCATTCCTAAGTGTCCCTTTTCAAGGAACATTTTAGAATATTTCAGTAAGAGTTTTGTGTGACTTTTAAAAAATTCTTCAATGTAGTTGAGGTAAATGATTAAGTTCATCAAATAATACGTCTTAAAAAGAATGTGGAATGAAATGTGACTATTATGGGAACCAGCTGGCTTATTGCAAAGCACTGTTCAAATTACATTTTTTGATTTTATTTGAGTTTTTCTGTGGATTGAATGTAATTCTTGATTTAAAATGTGATCTATTGACCCCAGAAATTATGATTATATATATGTATTAATTATATTTATATCTATATATATATTAGATATATCTATCTGTCTATCTATCTATTAGCGTGCCCCATCCAAATTATCAGCAAGTTGAACTCCAACTATGTCCTGAAAAAAATCACTGCATAGTAGTGTATTTTTTATGAATTAATTTCTGCTACAATATCGGTAATTATGATGAGATAACTGGCTCTGTGGATGAGGGGAAAGCAGTGGACATGTTGTTCCTTGACTTCAGCAAAGCTTTTGACACGGTCTCCCACAGTATTCTTGCCAGTAAGTTAAAGAAGTATGGGCTGGATGAATGGATGATAAGGTGGATAGAAAGCTGGCTAGATTGTCGGGCTCAACTGGTAGTGATCAATGGCTTCATGTCTAGTTGGCAGCCAGTATCAAGTGGAGTGCCCCAAGGGTCAGTCCTCGGGCCGGTTTTGTTCAATATCTTCATTAATGATCTGGAGGATGGTGTGGATTGCACCCTCAGCAAGTTTGCAGATGACACTAAACTAGGAGGAGAGGTAGATATGCTGGAGGGTAGGGATAGCATACAGAGGGCCCTAGACAAATTAGAGGATTGGGCCAAAAGAAATCTGATGAGGTTCAACAAGGACAAGTACAGAGTCCTGCACTTAGGATGGAAGAATCCCACGCACCGCTACAGACTAGGGACCGAATGGCTCGGCAGCAGTTCTTCAGAAAAGGACCTAGGGGTTACAGTGGACGAGAAGCTGGATATGAGTCAACAGTGTGCCGTTGTTGCCAAGAAGGCCAATGGCATTTTGGGATGTATAAGTAGGGGCATTGCCAGCAGATCGAGGGACATGATCGTTCCCCTCTATTTGACATTGGTGAGGCCTCATCTGGAGTACTATGTCCAGTTTTGGGCCCCACACTGCAAGAAGGATGTGGAAAAATTGGAAAACGTCCAGTGGAGGGCAACAAAAATGATTAGGGGACTGGAACACATGACTTATGAGGAGAGGCTGAGGGAACTGGGATTGTTTAGTCTGCAGAAGAGAAGAATGAGAGGGGATTTGATAGCTGCTTTCAACTACCTGAAAGGGGGTTCCAAAGAGGATGGATCTAGACTGTTCTCAGTGGTAGCAGATGACAGAACGAGGAGTAATGGTCTCAAGTTGCAGTGGGGGAGATTTAGGTTGGATATTAGGAAAAACATTTTCACTAGGAGGGTGGTGAAACACTGGAATGCATTACCTAGGGAGGTGGTGGAATCTCCTTCCTTAGAAGTTTTTAAGGTAAGGCTTGACAAAGCCCTGGCTGGAATGATTTAGTTGGGGCTTAGTCCTGCTTTGAGCAGGGGGTTGGACTAGATGACCTCCTGAGGTCCCTTCCAACCCTGATATTCTATGATTCTATGATCGGTAATTGAGTAGAAGAGACCAGCAAGCTATAATCATTATTTGACTTTATCATCTTAAGTGTCTGTATTTGCTTAATTTGTGAAAATACTTAACAAAATTCAGCGGAGAAACACTTTCCCCATCAGAAATATATGGTTCGTGAAATCCTGTAATAGCTGTCCTTACTATAATATCATAGTTTTATTATCCTTTATAAAGATTTATAAAACTTGACATTTTTTTGCAAGCTGTATTGGTTGTGAATAAGAAGACAGAAGAAATACTTTTACAATTAAACAATGTTTATTTTTTTAAAAGCATAAATGTATCTAGTTGCCTTCAGTTTGATTGGGTAAAGACACACCATGTATTTTGAGGTATATTAAACAAAAATAAAATAACCTGTCTTACTGTGGTTTGCTACTGGGTTTCTATGGGCCTGATTTTCATTCTAACAACTTTGAGAGAATAGTCCGAAGCTTTAAATGGTATCCAGACCACTCCATTTTCAATCTCATAAGGAACATTGTTCCTTGGGTCATACTGGCCTCCTCGGTAGTAAATGCCATTGAGATTAGCAGCTTGACAGTTGTTGTACCACCATCCCCCTCCATACACTTCAGCACAGTTCTCCTCCCATTGGTCACTGTCCCTGTCAAAGGTGCTGAATTTCATGTTATCATGTGCTGTGTATTCACTACCTTCCTCCACTGAGCCTATGATCAGTGCATCCCCAGCTGTCCCCTCATAAGCAGAGACACTGAGGACATAGCCTTCTGACTCAGAACCTACATGTATATTATATTCCGCATAAGCTTCATTGCCAGCCCAGTCCTCTAATTCGACTCGAAGGACAGTGTCCTTCT